GCCAGGCTCCCTTCACACCGTGTGGTGAGAATGATGTATGTTTGGTCTGCGTTGTAACATTGATTGGGCTAGTCATTAGTATTCTAGTATTCTGCTGCGCTATCTTGTACTACGCGAAAGTGGTCGGTCCCGGTCAGCTCAGGACTTGTATCTAAGTCTTCCACTGCACTTTAAAGCACCATTTCGTATGTATCAGGATGTACACTGCTTGTTGAGATTTCATTTGCACTGCATTGCCCATTCAGTCCTTTTCGTCACATTGCGGATCCTTGGCTTATATGTACATCGCCCAACTGAGAGAGAGAGAGAGAGAGAGAGAGAGAGAGAGAGAGAGAGAGAGAGAGAGAGAGCAAACAAATAGAGCAAACAAATAGCTCCTTAGCAGTTATTTGAAGACCCCTGCGGGTTATCCGAGAGGCCCCTGCAGATAATTAGCAAGGGCCTCTTCACCATGAACGAGGTGATGCTCATAGCCATGCTAGGGTCATGGCACGCCAAGTATGTATGCTGTTGATTCACATTAAGGTCCGTGTTTCAGCAGTTATGGGACCACTGAGCACGCGAGTTTCTGGGCAGTAGCAGGCCAACTCACCACTTGCTTTTCAGGGCTTCCCTCCACTACTCACCAAATGTGCAAAACTAGAATGAATCTTCTGCTAGAACATGGAACCGCATATGTCTTTTCTTTTGTGCATGTGGTGATGAGCGGAGTTGTAGGAAAAGGAAACAAAAGAAAGAGGAATGAATCTTCTGCTAGAACATGGAACCATACGCCGCCATATGTTTTGTCTTTTGTGCAAGTAGTGACGAGAGGAGCAAGGCCCTTAGGGCCACTGCTTGTAGGAAAACGAAACAAAAGAAAGAGAGAGCTAGTATGTAGTTGTAACTTGTAACCCATAACTGCTGGAAAGCAGACCTGACTTCGGATCCAGAAATATTGCTGGCCTGCTCCTCTCTCACACAAAATTTCCTAAACGTCCCTTGAGATGTTGGGACCCTTGCAGATGCACTGTTGGGGTCCTTCGGGAAAAGGACTATTCAACAAGGAATACGTGGGCCCAATTTGTTTTTTCTGTGCCCTTCGATTTTTCAGAAGGGAAGGGCACCATTGGCAACCTCAGCCAGCCCTCTCTGATTTTTTTTTACCCTATATATTGGGGTGTGAAACGGTATTCACCTGTTCGCAGTAGCCGATGCAGATCCCAGGGCTCGATCCCTAGTCATCACCTTACCTGTGTACAGTATTTGTGTCGACCCCGAGAGTTGAACCCATGACCTGTGTATTTGTAACAGTCGGTAGACTGTCGTAGGGTCCGTAGGTAGCAGGGGTTCGATCTGTAGACCTGTCGAGTAGAAGTCCTAGGCAGTTCTAGAAGTCGTAGCTGTGGAGCTTCTGAAGAGTCAAGGTCGTAGCCGCTACAGTCCTGAAAGGTCAAGGTCGTAGCTGCTACAGTAACGAAAGGCCAAGTCCACGGCCTGCCGGAAGGTCCTAGCAGTGGCCTTTCGAAGTTGCTCAAGTTTAGGCCGAGGCAAGTGGGCAAGTGGTGGAGTCTACCCGTGCTGAGTCAGCAGTCCCAGTCCCAGTCAGTCCTAGTCCAGTCAAGCAAGTACCGCATGGGACTGTGTGCACTACGGGCATGGGAAAGGGCCAGACCAACGAGCTACAAAAGTATAAATCAAAGGGCAGCGTCCAGCCATTCATTCATTCCTGCGTGAGCCATGCGGAAGCGCTGCCACAGCGACTTGTGCGAGGTGGTCTTCAGTGAGCCCGAAGACGAAGTGGGTGAGAGAGAAGGAGCTTAGCCATAGCGATAGGTTAGCAGCGGCCATAGCTGCCATAGCTGTAGGTAGAGTGCAATGTGTGAGCGTGTGAGTGTGCAGTGTATGCGTGTGGGATATCCAGGGTGATCCTGTGTGTGCGAACAGAGAGTTGTACAGGCGCTGTGCCGCCATAGCCATCTGAAGTGAACCTGTATCTGAACTGCGTTCTTGGTTACCATATCTCTGAGTTCTGAGTGGGCGATTTTTGCCAGTTTGCTGCACACCTGTTTCCATGCATGTGAGGTTTGAAAGATAGCGAGTCTGATTGCATTGGTATCGGTGCTGGTACCCGCTATTCCACGCGCGCCGTCGTGTGCCGCATGGAGAGCTACGCGCCATAGCCGAAGTCCGCCATAGCGGACCTGGAGGTTGAAGAAGCCGCTGCGCGCACCTGCAAAGAAGACCACGGCGAGAGAGAGAGAGAGAGAGAGAGAGAGAGAGAGAGAGAGAGAGAGAGAGAGAGAGAGAGAGAGAGAGAGAGAGAGAG